ATTCAGACTCCAGACACATGCCAGGTGCCAACGGGAGGGGGCCAGAGCTGACTACTGCTCCCCCCCGCCAGGGAACCCTGACAACCCCTCACCTGTTATGGATGGAGACACCCTCCCCTCCAAGGCACCCAGTCTGTGTTTTCACGGCAAAGCAGCATGGATGCAAGGGGTCTCCCTTGAGCCACAGGGCTGGGGCAGCACAGGGGCCCAACTGCGGCCCCCCATGACTCTGAATTGGGCCCCTTCCTCCCTGGAGCAGGGGGGCGAGGCCAGGGCTTCAAGAGCAGGCCGGCAGGCGGGCGGGTGGCGCTGCAGCTGCTGTGCGTGGTCACGAGAACACACTCAGCCACCAGCCATGGGAGCGGCGTCCTCAGCACACCTGGGTGTGAGCAAGGCCGACAGCAAACAGCTTTAGGCTTGAAATACTCTCAAAGGGTTGTGGCGACTGCTGGGACCCTCGAACATGAAGAGCCGACTCGCCACAAGCTGTCACGAGGCCCCACCGCTCCTGAGGCTGGCGGCGGGAGCTCTGGCGTGGTCTGCAATGGCCTCGCCACCCCAGTCCCCAGTCAAAGTGAACCCACCAACGCGGGCTGCGTCTGCACCCCACCTGCCACAGGCTGTGGGTACCAGGCCCAACCTGCCCTGCTGTCGCCTTAGGAGGGACCCCACAGCTACCTCGGGCAGCCAGCTGCTCGACTCGGGGCAATGCCTGTCAGACATGCAAGCTTCTCTTCCGGCCGCATCTGAAATACCTGAAGGCCTTAATTTTTATTTTAAGCCTGAGTGCTTTTCTAAAATCCAAAAGCTTAAGCATCAGTAAAACTAGATCAGAGTTTCCCTGGGAACCAGTGTCTGGCTTAGAAACACATTCGTATATTAAACAGACACTGTTTTCAGTAACCACTTGAAACCACAGCTGCCAACCAGGGTGAAATGAGGTGGGGTCAGATAGGCAAGTTCACGCCAGGCACGCACGGGGCCAGTGAAGGTGACCGGGGACCGTCCACGACGGGGGTCAGGCAGGACACGCTGAGGGTGGGAGCCCAAGGGGCTTGGACTTGAAGTGCAGTAAGTGTCCTCAGGGCAGGGCCGGGGGCCGGGCAGCCACCCCATGCCACCGAGCGTAGCAAGAGAAGGCGAGGAGGGTCTGATGAGACCCCAAGAACAAGGTTCTGGAAAAGCCCAGGGGCCTTGAGCAGGACAGAGCTGCCGTGTCCACTAACCTCGTACCCAGGATGGAGCCCCAGAGGCTGTGGGATTTATACTCTTAGAAATCACATTTATTATTACCTTTTAACCTAAGACAACAAAAATTACACAGTGGAGAAGTGAGTATACACATAAATTAATCTAAGGCCTGAAAGACAATGAAATTGAGAAACTGAAAATGAATAAACAAATAGTTAAAAAACAATCTAACCCCAGAGGTATTTAATTACAAAAGAGCCACAGGAGAAAGAGGGAAAGTACGCGAGATCCAAGTTCAGCACGCAGCCTCCGCTTACAGGGCACAGTCAGGATCTGGGCGAGTGTTAGTTATATCTGCACTTCAACTCACTGTTTGGGGAGCAATTGATCACATGTATTAAAAATCATGTGAACTATATTTACAGCCACACATTCACTTGCTTTTTAAGACAAGTGGCTTTGTAACTCACAAAGCAATTATCCAAAGGCAACGAAAGATAGCTCTCCTGGAGCCGTGAGGACACTGTCAGCCTCACCTTTCCTGGCGGCCCCTCTTCCGTGACTGGGCCCAGGGACCCTGTTCCTTAGGTCACAGGTTGGCCAGCCTTACATTTAGAAGAAAATGACTTATCTTCCCCCAGAAGTGCTCCAAGTAGGCTGAGGTTTAGCCGCAGATTCTGCTCAACCGATGCTGGACAGCCCGGGAGGAAGCTCAGGTGTGGAAAGTGGCTCAGGCAGAAAATGGAAAGATCTGGAAGCCTCCACCAACCTGACACAGGAGGTACGCTACAGCCCCCAAATGGAACACCAAGTTTGAAGCTGCTCTGTATTCAAAAGGACTCCAGGGCAAAGGGATGAAAACACTTAAGGTCCACAGAAACATTTAAAAGAGGACAGCTCAACGACAACAAAAGGACAGCTCAACTTCGGACGTTCGGCAGAAGCCAGCCCCTAAAGACCCGTGTTGTACGACCTGTGGATCAGAAACATCCAGAAGAGGCAGAGCCACAGGCGGGGACTGGGCCAGCAGCTGCCAGGGGGCTTCCTGGGGTGAAAACATCCCACAGTCAGCTGAGTGCACAGCCCCGTGGACCCACGGAGCCGTGCACTTGAAGCAGGTAGATCGTCTCACAGTCAAGGACAGCTCCCGCCTTAGAGGCATACAAAGAGAAGCCCCTCTTACATGCCTGGGGAGGGTCAGGTGAACCCAGATTTCCTGCACTATCGTTGACAATTCCCACAGGGGGAGGGAAACGTAAACCTCACCAGGCTGTCTAGCTCCTCACAGGGCTGGGCGACACCGGGCAGGTGCTCTGCGGCCACACCTGTCACCGTAGGACGGAGGCCGTAGCCTCTCAACCCAACCCCACTCCTGCTTGTGGCAAGAAAACCAAAAGCAAAACCCCTATTTACAGCCAAATAATTAACAAATAAACTGCTTGGATACTAACGACTACAGACCAGAACTCACTGAGGGCTCAAGAACCACAGGGTCCCACGCCCCAGCCCACAGGGGGCAGAGTAGTGCCCAGGCAAAGCCCGCAGACGTCTCCAGGGCCCATCTGTCCCTGCCAGCCACTTGGCCTCAACTCCCTGGCTCTGCCCAACAAGGGGCATCTTCTCTTCCCTGAAAATTCAAACATTTACTGAATGTTGTTTTACCCTTGGGCTTCATTTTACAATATTTTCCTAGCTTTGCACTTTAAGTTACAGAAGCCACCACTTCTGCAAATGCCCAGGTATTCTATGCTACAGATTTAATAGGTTTTTAGCTCGTCTGCTGTGTCCTGAGCACATGGGGAAATGTGGGGCTCCCTGCCCAAGTTGGCAGGGCCTCCGGCCCCCCACCCCCTGGCATCCTGCCAGCGTCCCAGTGGACTCCCCGTCCCCCACTGCCGGCAGATGCTCCTCTGTTACTGGCCAAGGGCTGACTCAGGCAGAGCTGAGCATAGTGCCAGACACAGCCTTGTTTTGCCCCTTCCCACCCCACCCAGAAGGTAGAAGTCCCACCCAAGTGAAGCCAGCAAAGCGACAAGGGTCCCTCCCAGAGGCTCGTGAAGGGCAACCAACAGGGTGGGGTCTATGCAGGCAACTTCCCTCCACGGGGCCCAGACAGCAGGCACAACCATCCCCTGGACTGGATGCTGCTGGGGAGACCACGGGCCTGTACAGTCACCCCGAGAGGAGAGTCTGAGTTCTGAGAGGCTGGGCTCTGCCCCTTCGTTTAGAGCCACCAGGGACACACACAAAATCCCTCCAGATTTGGTCTACGATGTGTAAATGCTGCCCATTCCCAAAAGTAGCTCTGATGTGAAAGACCTAACTCACAATAATTAAGGGAGTACAGCCAAGTAAGTGCATTATCTGTTGTCGTTTCTCTTGTTGAGTTTAAGAGTCTTTAAATAACGAATGGTGCTAACTGAACAATCATCTTAAAAAATACTGGGTTGGCCAAAAAGTTCTTTCGGTTTTTTCTGTAACATCTTACCCTACAGAAAAGCCCAAAGAAATTTCTGGCCAACTCACTAGATGGGGTCTCAAGTTAAGCTTATCAACACAGAGAGTTTTCAGTGCAAGAACCAAAAGCCTGGAGTTGGATCACAGCTTTCCCAGGGGAGCGGCTGTGGCTGGCGCCTCTCCACAAGGTTAGGACAGCTCTCACCACATGGCGCTCAGGACACAGCTGGCATCTCCCCGGCAGTACGCAGAGCTGTCCCTAACGTGGTCTGCGCCTTCTGAGAAAGGAGTGTGTGCGCAAGGTGCGCTGCAGGGTGTCTTGGGGCTCCTGCACCCCCGGGAGGGCCTTGGGACTGCATGGGGCAGTGGGGGGTGCTGGTTCTGGTGGGCGTGAGTCCTGGACCCCCAGCATCAGTGCCCGGCTGGGGCACTGACGAGAAATACCTGCGTTTCTGCCCCAATGCCCCCACCCGACGTTTCCCTTGCAGCTGGGGAGGAGCGGGCACGGGGTGGAGCGTGCAGCAACCACCAGCATCCAGTGCATTTTGCTGGAATGACCTCCGGGGCCCTTCACAGCTAACTAATTAATCTATAGGTGTACAGAGAACATTCGTAGTTTATTCACAATTGCAAGAACGCCGAAGTGAAGGAAGCTTTCCACCCAGTGTCTATACTCCTCTCGCTTGGGATGTGTCTGGTCTCCATGCTGAGAACCACCGTCACTCACGGTAACATGAGGTGTCTCAGGAATTTAAAGCAGCCCGGGGTGACCGTGAAGTGTCTGGTCAAAGCCCAGCCAGCAAGGATGATCTTAATATCCACAGCCTGGGGTCACATTCACATGAATCTGGCTTGAAAATACCTTCCTTTCCCGTGAGGCTTAGGAAGCAGACAGAGTCTGTTTTGTCTCTTCCTGAAAGGAAGTCAAGTCCTCTCCAACTCCCTGCTTCTAACATGCTTCCTTCGGCACCCAATGTGGCCCTCTCATGAGCTGACCCTCCAGAAAGAGCACCAGAGTGTGAGGCAGCCGCCCGTGACCCAGTGCACACCCACGCGCACACCTACCTGCAGTGTGCAAAGCCACGGATGGCGGGGTCCCACCTTCCTCACCTAAGCTGCTCTAACACTGTATCACAACCTTCCCCGACTGTGTCCACGTGGACTGCAGCCCACGGCCCCGAGTGGCTCCAACCTCTGGACGGTCCCGTGAGCACCAGAACAGAAACCCAGTGACCCCGCACACCTCAAATGGGCCGCCGCGTCCCCTGCCTCACAGGTGCCCCTGAGTGGTGCCCACAGGTGACACCTGTCAGAGACAAGCACACAGGGTTAAAGGGCAACCACTGGGATGCAGTTCTTTGTCTTTCCTAAGGAGATCGTTGTACATCTGGTCATATGTGGTTTTGAAATCATAAACGTTTGGCTTGTCGGGTGCTGGTCCTGGAAGCTTCACGTGAGTTCCTGTTCCAAAGGACCGGACGCTGAATCCTCGTTTGCTGAAAGACACAAAACGACAGAGAATCACAGTTGGATTAAATGAGACACAAAATGCTAAAAAGGAAAATGAAATGAGAAATGGACTACATGAACAATTTTGCTGGTCTCAAAGCACATGTTTCTCAATTCTTAACTCTTAAGTATTTTATTTGCAAATTTAAAAAAATCCTGTAGCACGTTACACAAAAGCTAGGTGGAGCCAATCCAAACATAAGACAAAGGATCCTGGAACGTAGGGGAACGAGGTGGATGTCTGTGATGGCCACAAGACAGACACGTGGTAGAGGAAAGATTTCACCTAGAACGTCTTGTCATCTGACTCCTGTCCTGGTCTCTAGAAGGAAACCATCTGTCCAGGTTTCCAGCTGCCGTGATGCAGGCTTCCCAGGACCAAGAACGCAGTTTCTGGAGCTCCGGAGCAGAGGGACACACCCCCGGCCTCCTACCTCGAGGTGCCAGCTGCGAGGGCCAGAGATAAGGGAATGGCCGAGTGTCTCCTAATAAACTGAGGGAACCTCCCTGGCAGGCAGCGTCCACGAGCCACAATCGCACCCTAAGCAAGAAAGGTCATCGCACACACTGCGGCCCCAACGCCATCCTCACTCAAGCAGGTCTGCTGCAGACCCCATGTTCCCTCAAACTCACAAGCGGTGAAAGCCAACACTGGGAGTGTTCAAAGCGTCTACGTGAAACGGCCTTCTCATTCTAACCTCGTGTTTATACGTCACTAAAATATCCGTGTGGAAGCATCCCTGCCCGCCAACTCGGGAGCAGGCCCCAGGCCCACCAGCCCCGATGTTCTCTTCACGGCCCCACAGGCTCTGAGGCGGCCACGGTCACTGTCTCAAGCTTTTTTGTACATTTTATTGGAGCTCAGGGGTGTCTGGCCACATCTGGAGGCCCACGGAGGAGCGAGCGTGTCCATGCACACACGTCCCAGCACGGGGGGAAGCCCAGGTCTGCAGGCGCCACTCCCGTGACCCCTTGTGGGCACCAATGCCTCGTGGGCACTGATGCCTCTCTGCTGAAAGGCGGACAAATAAGGGAGGAAACCTCACTCGGCCCCCGGTGCCCGTGGAGCGAGACCCGTGGTCTCTCCCAGCAGACACAGCACTTCCAGAAGCCCAGCCCGAGAGCCACTGTCCCTCCAACAAAAGACAGGAAGGACCCACAGGTCACTTGCTGTCACTGTGAGAACGGGGAGGGACGCGAGGAGCGCAGCCACTGCGCCTGGCGCAACAGAGCCTCACGGACACACATTTTTAAAGCGCTTCTCATCCGGTTTGGGTCAAACACCTTGCCTGAGTCCTCTGAAGCTGGTAAAAGCCGAGTCATGTCCCTCTGTCCCTGGAAGGCCCGAGCTGTGCCCTCGACCAGGCCCCAGAGGTCACTGTGATGGAGAACACGGGGGACAACAGGCACGATTGAGGAGTGAATGGGGCCATGGCCACCTGAGCTGCAAACGGACCACGACCAACCCAGCCCCAGTTTACGTGCAGCTCCGGGCCCCGGGGAGAGGGAGGCTGGGATGCAAGGGCCCAGCCTCGCGGGCACCTCCACCCACAGGCTCCAGCAGGTGCCCAACAGACCACGTCACCCAACCCGTTTCCTCACCAGGTCAGGTACGTACAATAAAAGAAATGTTTTCTGTCAAAGGACCAACAAGCCAGGGATGAAGGCCCCCTTGACAACAGCCGCGCGGGGGTCACACTCTCCCGAGACAGTGACCGGGAACAGGTCACGGCCACGGGCGCCGTGGGAACACACAGCGGTAGGCCACACTTGTCTTGCTGGCTTCATGATTTGCCACTACTCCACAAGAACTGCCCGAAACAGAGAGCTTATCCTCGTAGTGCCAAGCCCCCCACCCCAAAAATACCCTGGAGGGAGCAGGTCCTTGAGGGGGGAACGTGTGCTATGGAAAAACACTAACCCACAGAAGCAAGGTCCCTGAAGGCTTGGAGCTGAGTCCAGTCCCTGCAGAGGGAGCCCAAGGTGCGACCCTGCCAGGAAGTAACACAGTGACTGCGTGAATGCAACTACTGGACACACACCTGGGGCCACCCCGGGCCTGTCTCCAAAGGCCACGTATCTGTTCACAGGATCTTGGGAGAAAGGCCTGTCTTCTGGTGGATGCTTTAAAACAAGTCATTTAAAACCAAATAAGTAAGTTAAATATGTGAGAGATAGTGCCTTTACAGGTCAGAATAAGAAACCACGGCTGAGACCACTTTTCTCAGCTAGCTACCTAAGAAGCCTGCTCCAAAAGGGGTCCCAAATATCATTTGGGGGAACAGTGGGAAAAACAAAACGCTTCCCAACAAAAATAAGTGAAAGATTCATTTAGACACAGTTCCTCCATCACTTTTTTAAAAAAAATCAGTATTTCTACATCTCGGTCATTTCCTTCTGGTCATTCCTTTGAGATACTTACTCATAATTAAAGAACTTATTTACATGAGCCCAACTCTTAAACCTAAGTTCAAATTTATTAAAATGAGCCCAAGCACAACTACTATTGAAATACATTAATGAAATATATACTGAATAAGTCTTAATTTAGCCAGGCAGCAGCAAAGGAGACTGTTAAATCTCCAATGGCTAAAGTTTTCAGACAGAAAAACCACCACCATTTCTACTGGTGGCAGGTTAGCCATTCCATTTTTGATCCAACAGTATTTTCTGGAGCTTACTATATGAGCTGGGGATTCAGCAGTGATCGAAACAGACCTAAATCCCTCTCCTCAGATGCTCTGGGAGTGGGAACAATGTAGGTAACCCTCCAGGACACAGGACGGGGGAAGCGCAGAGATGGCAAAGCTGCGGGGCGAGGCTGGGGGTGATGGGAGACAGGGTGCCTGGGGGCTCCCAACACATCCTGCACCCCATGATGCAGGCCCCAGACAGGACCCCAGGGTGTTCCTGGGGTTGGCATAGGGCATGTGTGCCACTGAAAAACTGCCCATACGATTCCCAAGAGGCCCTAGGTGGAGAGGCCCCAGCACAGGGTCTCACATGCCCCCGCCTCCTGCCGGGGCAGCGAGCCTGAACTGCCTGGGTGGACAATCTCCTTCCCTCACCTCCTGTCACAACAGGGGTTGAGGTGTGCGCTAGGTGTCCACGTGAAACACTGTCCATATCCCTAAAAGCAGATCACCACAAAGATAACCTGGGCCCATTTTCCACCCGGCTGATCCCTAACAGGGCTTCTAAGAGGATGCCTGCTAGGTCTCTGAAAGGCTGGGTGAGGTCTCTCCTACTAGAAACCGTCACGGGAGGGGGGCCGCAGCTGCTCTCTCCTCACTGCCCTCCCTAACTGCCTGAAATGTTACTCAAGCATATTTAATAATAAAATGAAACCCCAAAAGAGGAATTTACTGGCAGAAGAATTTAAGCCACACACACAAAAAGAAACCCAGTTTGTTCTTCCCCCAACAAAATGTTCACAAGTGGCAAAAAGGCTAGTTAACAACAGAAGCCCTGTTTCTTCTAAGCTCATGCAACTGACAAAACAGCCCATCTTGTGTGTGACTATGTACAGTGACAATGTGTTTCTTACATAAAAGGACTCTGAGCGCTATAACAATATTGCTGACCACCAAAAGGCTTTTTCTCAGGGGCCAATTATTTTGTATGTTAAACAAATCTTCCAGACAAGTATTTATCAAACTTGTCTTTATAGGTATCAAAAATCTATCAGAAAGATATAGAAATTATGTTATACATTAAGATACAGAAATGTTAAGTTATAGAAAAGATTACACTATCATAAAAAATGTCGGGGCTTGGGCTTCCCTGGTGGCGCAGTGGTTGAGAGTCCGCCTGCCGATGCAGGGGACACGGGTTCGTGTCCTAGTCCAGGAGGATCCCACATGCGGCGGAGCGGCTGGGCCCGTTAGCCATGGCCGCTGAGCCTGCGCGTCCGGAGCCTGTGCTCTGCAACGGGAGAGGCCACAACAGTGAGAGGCCCGCGTACCGCAAAAAAAAAAAAAGAAAAAGAAAACACCCAAATTTACAGTATGGATTATGCCATTTTTTTCCTATTTTCTATAGTGTGGTTATTAACCTAATTCAAAGCATTATTGTGGCTAAGACTGAAATCCTAGACCACTGCAAACCTTCTGAAAGAACGACCTGTCTCTGAGTAGGACACAAGATGCTTACGAGCATAAGTCACCTTTACTATAGGTAAAATCGCCCACTGCTTAATCAGCCGTTTCTAGCTACACAATGACCTCAGTATACCCAACACAGATCAGCTGCTCAAGCAGCATCACACTATAACGCCTGCCTGCAGTTTCACTGTGGTATAAGCCACAAGCTGGGAAGTTCAACTTCCTGAAATGTTAATATTCCAGTAAAGTTGATGTCACCCCTAGTAAAACGTCAGCCTAAGCACTTCCCAATGTTTTCTAGGGTTTATTTTATTCTTACCCTCCCATAGGTCAAGAAGAAAACAAAAGGCCTCTCAGCATGAGATCACCATGCAGGGAGCTTGTCAAACGTGCCACTTTGTTTAGACCCCGAGAGCTCCTGCTTAGATGTCCCTGCTCCAGGCCTGCTCTTCCTCGACCCTGGCTTCTCGAAGGCCAGCTTGCTCTGCCGGCCACTGTCGGCCTCCCCAGGGTGCAGGGCCAGCAGAGCAGGTCCTCAAGACCTGGTACTCCAACTGTTCCAGCCCCAGCACTGCGCTAAGCGCTACTAACCATGGTGAACCCGCTCAACTATCTTCCCTGGGCTCGACCTGTTCTCACCTACAGAAGGTTGGAGACGATGATCCTTAAGGCAGGGGAAAATGTTTTAGCTGCTGGAACTGATAACATGCTTGGTCTACCCAGTTTCGTCTCAATGTTCACATCCAAACAGAAATCTACCTTCTTCCAACCAAGCCTTCTGGTCTTAGTTCTGCCTCCTGAAGACAAAAAGCAAAAAAACAATGCAGAGTCCCTTAAAATCTATGATGGCAAACGTGTCCCCTGTAGGCACCTCTTCTATGCTTATACACACAATTTCAAATCTTCCACCTCCCCAGATAGTTTCCAGTTTACCTTCTTCAAGTGTACCCAGAAACAAAGTATCAAAAATGCAGCCAAAGGGGCCGCAGGGGATAGCGGACAATCCCTCCCTGGCTTAGGACAAGAGGCTTCTGGAAATGTGTTCAAGACAAGGGGAGAGTTTAGCACCGTCTGGGAGAGTGCTGTGTCAAGCCGCCTGGGCTCACTCAGATCCAGTGTTCAGATCCCAGCAGCCCTGAGACTCAGTCCCCTCTGGGAGAGGCTGTCTGAGTACCTCCATCCCAGTGTGGCTAGGGTCCACATACTCTACTCATGACATTAAGACCTGAGCGCCCCACCCCAAATCGGAGAATCACAGGACCTCAGCTGACTGTTGCACTCCCCGCAGCCTGGATCCTCCTCCAGCCCGTGTTCTATCCCATCAGTTCTGTCACTCATCCGTCAGCACTGGAGCCCCTTGTAGCCAGATCCTTGCTGTCACTCATGAGCTGGGGCTTCTTGCTCTGGGTATTATCTCCTCACCTGTGTACATGTGCACATCCTAAGAGTTGTGAGGACGAAATCAGATGGCATTTGCAAAGCACCTGGCACAGAGGAGCTCAAGAGACTGATTCTAACCTTGTTTCTTCCACATCTACAGCCTCTCTGCTCATCTTCCCCAAATCAAACTGCCCAGGAAGTTATGATTGAAAACAGTAATTCAGAGAAGTCTTTCTTTAAAATCTGTTTTGAATTGCTACAATTAAAAACAGCTTCCAGGGCTTCCCTGGTGGTGCAGTTGTTGAGAGTCCGCCTGCCGATGCAGGGGACACGGGTTCATGCCCCGGTCCAGGAGGATCCCACATGCCTCCGAGCAGCTGGGCCCGTGAGCCATGGCCGCTGAGACTGCGCTCCGCAATGGGAGAGGCCACAGCAGTGAGAGGCCCACGTACCGCAAAAACAAAACAAAACAAAACAAAACAAACAGCTTCCAAAAATCAGCAGGCCCCTTGACCTCTAACAGAGAGTTTGGAACAAAAAAATAAATTAATTGGCTCCAAAGGGACACCTTAATCCACAGAGTACAAAGAACAGGAGGCTCTGTGGAAACAAACACAGTCTTCCTGCACCCCTTAAAAAACCTGAATGGCTCCAGGACTAGTATTTCAAACAACTTAGTCTCAAAAGATAAAAAATGATCACCCCAGGGAACATTAAGACTAGCTCTAGAAAACGCCGTTTATTAACACTTGTATTTGACTTCTCAGAAAAATACAGCCTGAGCAGATTTTCAAGGGGGCAAAAATAAAATTGGGTTTCACTAATAAATGACCTAGCGTGCATGCTTGATCAACTACATTCCTTATGATAGTTCATTTCAGAAGTTTTCCTATACATAGTTTTATTTAGTTGTAACCAAACTGCATACACAATTTTCCTGTTTTCACTTACACATGTTTTTTTTTTGGCCATGCCCTGCAGCATGTGGAATCTTAGTTCCCCCACCAGGAATTGAACCTGTGCCCCCTGCATTGGGAGCAGCTTGGAGTCTTAACCACTGGACCGCAAGGGAAGCCCCTTATCGTACCTTTTTTTTTTTTTTTTTTTTTTTTTTGGT